CTGGAGCCGGACCCACCGCCCTTGTCTGGCCCTGCGGTTCTGCGCCCGTATTAACATTGTCCGTCTGGGGAGCCCCAGGGTTCTGTGCGGACCCCGCCTCTGCTCGGTGATTCCCAGAGCTGACGCGCCCTTTACTCCGCCGGCGCCAGCCCACAGCCTCCGCGCTGTGCAGACACCGCTCACTCTCCCAAAAACGTCCTGTGCCTTCTATGTAGAACTTTGCATCTCACTTCGTTTTTGGTTTGGGTTTTTTTTTTTTAATTTATTTATTTTTTGGTAACAGGCATCGAACTAGGGTCCTTGCGCTTGCAAGGCAGGCTGCGGAACCCCTGAGGTAAATCCTCGGCCCTCTTCGTTGTTATTTTTGAGACACCGTCTCCCCGTGTAACCCAGGCTGGTCTCAAACTCGTGGCCGTCCTCCTGCCTCGGCCTCCTGAGTGCAGCCCCAGCACGGGTGTGCGGCCGGGGAGGCGCGGGCGTGTGAGGGCCGCTGTGGCACTCACTGCACAGCTGCGCGTTCCAGTCGAAGCTAGTTCCAGCGGGTCCCAGCCGCCTTACTCTTCCTCACTGTCGCCAGCCCATTCTTGCTCGAGTAGCCCCAGCTCTACACACACTGCACGCCTGACCCTCTCACACACCCCTGGCTCGGTCCCCTTCATCCGTGGAAGCGCCTGCTCCCTCCTCTGTCCCTGTGAACACACAGCAGGCTCCCGGTCTCCCTGTGCATTTTTTGCAGTTCTGGGATCGAACCCAGGGCCTTTATACCAAGTTGCGTCCCCACCGCTTTCTACTTCTTTCTTGCTTGGAGATAGGGTCTGGCCAAGTTGCCCGGGCTGGGTGGCAATGTGGGATCCTCCTGCCTCAGCCTCCCATACTGGGGTGACAGGCCTGGGTGTCTTTCCAGGATCCCGTTTTGCATTCCCTTGTCTTCTTCAGTGATGCACCTGCGTGGCCTGCATGCGGGTTTTGTTTTGTTTTTTGAGACAGGGTCTCGCTGTGCGGTCCACTCGGGCTCTGTACTCAACTGTGGAGCCAAGCTGGGCTCGAACTCACAGTGATTATCCTGCCTCAGCTTCCTCAGTGCTGGGATGATGGCCATGCCCACCACTGCTGGTTCTGTGCTCAGTGAAGCAGTTTTTCTCTTACTGTCGAACGCTGCTTTGCACCTCCCGGACCCAAGGTGCAGGCCCCGGCCTTTTCCCGCCCTGGAGAGGGACCCGGCAGAGTGGGGGCCTTGAGCTCGCCCGCTGCTCCCCACATCTCGCCCTGTGGGGCCTGCCCTTGGCTCCCCAAGCCTCTTTGGGGGCCGTTCAGCGCCCTGCGTGGGCAGCGGGGTGCACTGTCCTGAGCCCACCGTCTGCCCTGCAGGGTGCCTGGGCCCATCCCCGCCTCCTCCCAGCGTCTTGGTCCCGGGATCGGAACCCAGGGCCTCCACACTGAGCCGTCCCTGCACCTTTGCTCGGTTTCGCATTTTGAGGCGGGGGTCTCTGTACTGTGTTAAGCTCAGCCTGGGGGTCCTCCTGCCTTAGCCTCCCAGCACGCGGGGTTGCGGCCTTCTCTGTGTCTGTGTTCGCGTGTGCATGCGTGGCACAGGGGCTTTGAGGTCCTGTATGACACGCTCACAAAGTTGCCCGGGCTGGGCTTGACCTTAGGGCCCTCCTGCCTCAGCCTCAGGAGGACCAGGACAGGCGTGCGCCACTGTGCCCGGCCTCTTCTTCCTTCCACTCCCTCCCCGTGTGCGGCTTGCGTGCCCACGCTTTTACCGCCCTGGTGATGGCTGCGCGTGCACAGGCCGGTGCTGCCCCGGGAGCACTGTGCCCTGTGCTCCTCCCAGGCTCTGTTGGCAGTGCCCAGGGCTGGGCGGGCGGGGTGCAGGCCGCTGACCCCCCGTGTCCCCAGGCCTGCGGCTGCCCGCTCTACTGGAAGGGGACACTGGTACAC